CCCTTGACCCTGTGGATGATGCTAGCCTTAATCTCCTCCTGTCCCTGGCTGAAGACAGGCCCCTCCTGCAGAGGCCAGGCCAGAATGCTCATCTGATTAAGACTCAATATATTAAGACTCAGGAATAACAAAAACAACAATAAACAAAAAAAACCACAACATAGTCTAGGTATCTTAATCCATTTTCTGCTGCTATAACAGAAAACTACAGACTGGCTAATTTATTTTGCTGTCTTTTGAGACAGGGTCTCACTCTGTCTCTCAGACTTTAGTGCAGTGGCACGATCTCGACTCACTGCAACCTCCACCTCCCAGATTCAAATGATCCTCCCACCTCAGCCTCCTAAGTAACTGGGTCCACAAGTGTGCACCACCATATCCAGGTTATTTTTCTTTTTTTTTTTTTTTTTTTTTTTTTGAGATGGAGTTTCGCTCTTGTTACCCAGGCTGGAGTGCAACGGCGCGATCTCGGTTCACCGCAACTTCCGCCTCCTGGGTTCAGGCAATTCTCCTGCCTCAGCCTCCTGAGTAGCTGAGATTACAAGCACACGCCACCATGCCCAGCTAATTTTTTGTGTTTTTAGTAGAGACGGGGTTTCACCATGTTGACCAGGATGGTCTCGATCTCTCGACCTCGTGATCCACCCGCCTCGGCCTCCCAAAGTGCTGGGATTACAGGCTTGAGCCACCGCACCCGGCCTATTTTTCTATTTTTTTGTAGAGATGGGGTTTTGCCATGTTGCTCAGGCTATCTCAAACTCCTGAGCTCAAGCCTTTCACCCACCTTGGCCGCCCGAAGTGCTGGAATTACAGGCGTGAGTCACCACACCCAGCACAGACTGGGTTATTTATAAAGAAAAGAAATGTATTTCCCACAAATCTGGAGGCTGGGAAGTCCAAGAGCATAGCACTGGCATCTTACGAGGGCCTGGCTGCAGTATCATCCTGTGGTGGGCGGTGGGAGGGCAAAGAGGCTGAACTGACACTTTGTATCGTCCCATACGATGGCATTAATCCATTCAACCTAATCAACTCCTAAAGATCCCACATCTTTATACCACTAGGATAGCAATTAAATGTCAATGTGAGTTTTAAGAAGAATAGTGTCATCATATTTGCATTTTAAGATAGTAAGGAATGGCAAGGTGTGGTGGTTCACGTCTGTAATCCCAGCACTTTGGGAGGCTGAGGTGGGTAGATTACTTGAGGTAAAGGACTTCCAGACAAGCCTGGCCAACATAGAAACCCTGTCTCTACTAAAAATACAAAAATTAGCCAGACGTGGTGGTGCACACCTGGAATCCTAGCTACTCAGGAAACTGAGGCAGGAGAATAGCTTGAACCCTGGAGGCAGAGGTTGCAGTGACCTGAGATCACGCCATTGCACTCCAGCCTGGGTGACAAGCTGAGACTCTGTCTCAAAAAAAAATAAAAAATTTAAAAAAAAAAGTTTTTAAGCTGTGTACACGTTGCGATTAAAGTGTAAGTCATGCATAACGATACCACTAGGAGACAAAAGGGAAAGCCCTTTTCCCCTAAACCTTTTACAAAGGTTCTGGGTTCTTTTTTCCACTTGAGTGGGGAAAAGTCAGCTAATGAGGAATGTAAAGTTTTTGGCCTCATCTAAAGTGCTTCGGCCCCCAACTGTGAGAAGCACTGACCACTGGGAAAGCCTCCCTCTGCCTGGTTCCTGGACTTCTACACCATGGGAAAGGCCATCTTCCCTCCCAGTGCGGAGTGACACCTGGATAGCGAGCTGGCTAGCAGCTGTGCACTCTCCAGCAATCCTGTCTTCTGACTCGGGGTTTTCTATGGACCTTCCTGTTCCCAGATGATCAAAATTGGGACTAGCCACTCCCTTCTGAGCCACCTCTGCCTCCAGGCCAGTGGCTGTGTCCTCCAGTCACAACAGGACACCTCTTCAGAACACCCTGCAGGAAGCCGACATCACACAGGCTCACACATGCACGGTGTGTGCACAGGACTTTGGTTCTAGTTTCAGGAGGCGGGGGGGAGGCTCATTAGTCCAACAGAGCTTGAGGCCTGTACCAGTGTCATATGCCAGGAGCCAAGGTTACCAGGGGTACAAAGTTTCCAGACCTACCAGAGTAGGCAAACCCCTACAACATGCAGGGCTAGACAGGGACAAGAAACAAGGTCCTTCTGGGCCAGCAAGAAGAGGGAAAGGAAAATTACAGGCATACCTCAGAGATACTGCAGATTTGTCACCAGACCATGGCAACAAAGCAAGTCACACAAACTTTCTAGTTTCCTACTGTGTCTAAAAGTTGTGTTTGCACTATGTTGTAGTCTGTTAAGTGTACAGTAACATTGTGTACAAAAAAACTGTGTATACATTTTTTTTTTTCTTTTGAGACAGAGTCTCACTCTGTAGCCCAGGCTGGAGTGCAGTGGCACAATCTTGGCTCACTGCAACTTCTGTCTCCTGAGTTCAAGCGATTCTCCTGCTTAGCCTTCCAGTAGCTGGGACTACAGGAGCCCATCACCACACCTGGCTAAGCTAATTTTTGTATTTTTAGCAGAGATGGGATCTCACCATGTTGGCCAGGCTGATCTTGAACTTCTGACCTCAAGTGATCCATCTGCCTCAGCCTCCCAAAGTCCCGGGATTACACGCATAAACCACCATGCCCAGCCATATACTTTAATTTTAAAATATTTTATTACTAAACAAATGCTAACAATCACCTGAGGCTTCAGCTAATCCTCTTTTTGCTGGGGGAGGGTCTTGCCTCCATAGATCAGGGGCATGGTTGCTGAAGGCTGCTTTGACAACTTCTTAAAATAAGGTTTGCCATTTGCCTCATGGATTATTCCTTTCAATACTGTTGTGCCTCAGGGAATAGGGAGGGCCGCGAAAGCAGAGCTGGGAGAATGACCAGTTGGTGATGCAGTCACAGCACACACATTTTTCCATTAAGTTCACCGTCTTATATGAGTGTGGCTCGTGGTGCTCCAAAACAATCACAATAGTTAACTTCAGTAACTAATTACAGCTCACTGTAACAGGTATAATAATTAAAAAGCTTGAAACGTTTTGAGAATTACCAGTGTGACACAGATACATGTCTGTCCACTGTTGGAAAAAACTGCACCAACAGACCTGCTTGATGTGTTTGACACAGGGTTGCCACAAACCTCCCATTTATTTACAGATTGATGTAAATAAACAGCGTCTGCAAAGAACAATAAAGGGAAGCAAAATAAAAGAAAGAGTAGCATTGGCAAAAGGGGAATCAGCACTTAAGCAAGGTCAGGATGAGTTTTCAAGTCAGGTGGACCTGGACATGAACGCTCCAGAACCTTCCAACCACCAGCTGTGGAGCCTCAAGCACATCTAGCCCAGAGCTGGCCCCAATAGACACTTGCCCATTGAGTGTCCAACAAAATCATCTGAGCCAATTTCCTCAGGTGCAAACCAGTGATGTAATTCCTACCTTGCAGAGTGGAGAAGTGAGAAAAGAGTGTTAAGAAACACACGGCCGGGCGCGGTGGCTCAAGCCTGTAATCCCAGCACTTTGGGAGGCCGAGGCAGGTGGATCACGAGGTCAAGAGATCGAGACCATCCTGGTCAACATGGTGAAACCCCGTCTCTACTAAAAATACAAAAAATTAGCTGGGCATGGTGGCGTGGGCCTGTAATCCCAGCTACTCAGGAGGCTGAGGCAGGAGAATTGCCTGAACCCAGGAGGCGGAGGTTGCGGTGAGCCGAGATCGCGCCATTGCACTCCAGCCTGGGTAACAAGAGTGAAACTCCGCCTCAAAAAAAAAAAAAGAAACACACAAGACCTATGGTAGCCTTTCCTTTCTGTCTGGCAGCAGGGTAAGCTAAGATGATGCACACAAGTACATCCAGGAGCTATGGAAGAAGCAGCAGTCTGATGTCATGTGCTTTCTCCTGAGGGTCCACTGCTGGCAGTACCACCAACTCTCTGCTCTCCACAGGGATCCCCACCCAGTCTGATAACGCATACTACTGGGCTACAGCCAAGCAAGGTTACATTATACATAAGCTTGGTGGTAGCCGAAAACCCAGTTCCTAAGAATACAAGCTGCCAGGCACAGTGGCTCATGTCTGTAATCCCAACACTTTGGGAGGCGGAGGTGGGTAAATCACGAGGTCAGGAGTTCAAGACCAGCCTGGCCATCATGGTGAAACTCCATTTCTACTAAAAATACAAAAATTAGCCAGGTGTGGTGGTGGGCACCTGTAATCCCAGCTACTAGGGAGGCTAGGGCAGAGAATTGCTTAAACCCAGGAGGCAGAGGTTGCAGTGAGCCAAGACTGCACCATGCACTCCAGCCTGGCGACAGAGCAAGACTCCCATCCCCCCCCCAAAAAAGAAAAAGAATACAAGTTACAAGCCTATGATGGAGTTAACCAGCTAGTTTGCTCACAGCCTTCAGTCTGTTGCAGAGGAGCAAGCTGATGCCACTGTGGAGCTCTGAGTATTTCTTACTGGGTTGAAGATTCCATGTACAAATTTTTGGGGGGTTATCCTAGTTGATCCATTCCATAACACTATCAGAAGGAAACCTGACACCCAGTGGATCACCCAAGCAGTCCACAAGCACAGGAAGACACGTGGGCTGACATCTGCAGGCCCAAAGAGCCATGGTCTTGGAAAGGGCTGAAGTTCGACCACACTATTGGTGGTTCTTGCCACGCAGCTTGGAGAAGGCACAATCCTCTCCAGCACCACAGCCACCACTAATAGAAGTAATGTTTGCAAAATTCATACCTAATCAACACTTTAGGACAGGAAAACCAACAAACAAACAAACCTGTGGTAGGCTGGACACCAGCACTCTGAAGCAAGTTCTGCCTAAACTAGCAGGAACATTTTTCACATCAGGAAGTGTTCCTGGACTCTGTCTGGGGGTAGGCTGGGAGAGGTGGGGGCAGAGTGGGGCAAGGGCAGGGCTGGGGGCCGGGGCCTGGGCAGGGCCAGCCACTGAAGTGAGGCCAAGGCCTGGAGGGAACCAGTTCCTGGTGGCTGTTGTGCAGCTCAGACAGCTCCCTGCCAGGTCACCCGCCATGGTCCTCCCTCTGTCCTGGCTCTCTCGGTGCCATTTCCTTCGCCTCCTCCTACCCTCCTGGTCCCTGCCACCCCAGGGTTCCCGTGGGTGCTGCTCCCAAAACCCCAAGGCAAGCATGGAAGAGACCAGCTCCAGAGGCAATGAGAAGACGCCGTCCCCTCCCAGGGTAAGTGGCACCAATGGTAGGGTCAGAGGGTTTGAGTTTGTACTGAGGTGGGGAAAAAACCCGTCAATCCCACCCTGCACCACCCTTACTCCTCTATCTCTTTTTTTAACTCAGCTACCAGCTCTTCTCCTCCCCTCCCCCAGCCCAGACCTCTGGGCTTCCTTCCCCCACCCTCACCCACAGCAGCACAGTCCACAAAGTCCTTGAACAGGAATTCCCCCTCACCTAACAGTTAATTATTTCTTAGCAGAGAGGGGAAGCCAGTCCTTTCCAGTGACCCCATATCCTTGTTCAAGTCATCCGGTTACAGCCTCTGGGCCAGGGATCTCTACCTGTCCTGCAGAGGCCTATGCCCAAGAGAAGGAGCTCCCCGGGCTTCTCAGTAAAGGCTACGTCAAAAACAGATAGGGAGGGTGGAATTTCTCACTTCCCAGGGCCTCTGACCCCAGCCCTGGCTGATGCTCCCTCCCCTACTTCCCCTACCAGGGCCCTGGGACCCACCGCACAGCTGAGCTGGCCCAAGCTGAGGAGCTGCTGGAGCAGCAGCTGGAGCTATACCAGGCGCTCCTGGAAGGGCAGGAAGGAGCCTGGGAGGCCCAAGCCCTGGTGCTCAAGATCCAGAAGCTGAAGGAACAGATGAGACGGCACCGAGAGAGCCTGGAAGGCAATGCCTAAGCTTTCCCCAGTGCCCACAGCACCCTCTGGCAGTGGAAATACTGTGCGCCACCCCCCCAGGAGCTTCGGGATCAGAAACATCCAAGCCTCTCTCAGACCAGAGAAAGCAGAAGAGACCCCCACAAAGCACAGGCAATTAGCAGGTAGTGGGGGAGCCAGGGCTCTGCAGTCTTAATCCCATCTCCCTTTGACCTCACAGCAGGTCACCCATGCCTTACAGGGAATTTGTTTAAGACCATGACCTAAAATAACCTCACCCCAAATACAATAAAGGGACGAAGCACTTAAAGATACCACAGACACATGTGTTTCATTTTTAGTTTTGTTAAAAAAAAAAATTCTGACAAATCAGAAATGGGGGTTCAGGAGTGGTGGTGATGCAAAAGACGGAAGCCATGGGGTGGGGGCTGTCAGGGATGGGGGCAGTAGTGTCTCCTTCACCCCCACCCTGATATCGTCTCCTGAAGGCCAGTCACATTCCAGAATGGGCGAGTCCTCTACCGTGTCTGTTCAACTGAGGAGAAAACGTAGCATGGTCAGAATAAGGCGTGAAAAGGGGAAAGCAAGGCAGGAGCACACAGTACACATGCAGATGCTGGTGTACCATGTGGGTTCAGAGGACAGACATGCGGGTGAGAGAAGGGAAGTAATATGATGAGAGAAGACAAAGACCCCACACACAGGTCAGGAAAATATCCCAACACAGCATCAAAGGCCAGGGGACATGAACCGGTCAAGTGTCCATTACACATCAGGTGCCCATGACCTAGATGATGGGATTTAGGACCAACACACTAAGGAACAAGGACGATCTAAAGGGTTTCATGACATCAGTACTCACTGTAGGAGGAGATGTCTATCTCATCAGGCAGCTCACTAATATTGACCTCAAAGCGATCCTGCACATCATTGAGAATCTTGGCATCATTCTCATCAGACACAAATGTGATCGCCAAGCCCTTGGTGCCAAACCGGCCTGCTCTGGCCACCTGGAAGGAGACAGAGGGTAGTACTGAGGACCCGAGAGGCAAGAGACTACCAGAGGCAGGAATGAAGATGTAATGTACAAAAAGCTACAGAAAAGGTTTTGGGAGGACGGGATTTCTTCAGCATGTAGGGCTTACCCGATGCAGGTAAGTGTCAGAATCCTCAGGCATGTCATAATTAAAAGCAATGTTCACCCGCTCGATGTCCATGCCTCGGCCAAATAGGTTGGTAGCCACAAGAATTCGTCGTTGAAAATCTTTAAACTGCTGATACCGAGAAAGCCTTTGTGAGAAAGGAAATTTAAAAAGTGTTGAGACTCCCTTCTCTCGTCTTTTTCTCCCAAGGACATAAAACATCTTTCCCATCTTCAACTCACCTCTCCTCCTGGGGCATCCCACGGTGGATGGCAATGGCTGGGAAGTTCTGCTCCACCAGTAGCTGGGCCAAGGCAATGCACCGCTGCACAGACTTCACAAAGATCACCACCTGTTGCGGAGTGGTGGGGAGGGGGGCCAGGAATTGGGGAATAGGGGTACATGGTGTGAGAAACATTATGTGGGAGAGGGGAGTTTCCAGTAATTATGTTTTCAGGAATTCCTCTTCATCTCTTGTTCCCCCACTATGTGTTTAGAGCAGAAGAGGAAATACGACTTTTTCTCAGCACTGGTTTTTACCTAAGGAGGCTGCCCTCTGAGGTAGCAGAGTTCAGAAACCAAAACTGCCAGACATGGCAGGTGACAAGGATGAGGTCGCCTCATGAAAAAGTGAATTAAGATCTGGAGGAGTGACTGATATTCCTGCTCACCAAAACATTAAACCTAAGGGAGCTATCCTAATTCTAAAAAGGAGTTTTTAATGCAAATAGACCATTCACAAGTATATTAACGCAATACTTTTTTGAGATGGTGTCTCACTCTGTCACCCAGGCTGGAATGCAGTGGTACAATCGTGGTTCACTGCAGCCTCCACCTCCTGGGATCAAGAGATCCTTCCACCTCACCAGCCCAAGCAGCTGGGACCACAGGTGCATATCACCCACCACACCCAGCTACTATTTTTTTCCCCCACTATCTGTAGTGATGGGGTTCTCCCTATGTTACCCAGACTAGTCTTGAAGTCCTGGGCCCAGGCAATGCTCCTGCCTCAGCCTCCCCCTCCCAAAGTACTGGGATGATGGGCAGGAGCCACTGCCCTGCACCAAGCCAGAAATGCTTCTCTTAAGCAGTATTAGAAGAACTGAACAATTATGAGCCCTAACATGGCCCCCAAAAGTCATTTTAAGAGTTGTAACAAGGCCGGGCGCGGTGGCTCAAGCTTGTAATCCCAGCACTTTAGGAGGCCGAGGCGGGTGGATCATGAGGTCGAGAGATCGAGACCATCCTGGTCAACATGGTGAAACCCCGTCTCTACTAAAAAACAAAAAATTAGCTGGGCATGGTGGCGCGTGCCTGTAATCCCAGCTACTCAGGAGGCTGAAGCAGGAGAATTGCCTGAACCCAGGAGGCGGAGATTGTGGTGAGCCGAGATCGCGCCATTGCACTCCAGCCTGGGTAACAAGAGCGAAACTCCGTCACAAAAAAAAAAAAAAAAAAAAAAAAAAAAGACTTGTAACAACTTCCTAAAACCTTTCAAGGACTTTTTTTTTTTTTTTTTTGGACAGTCTCCCTTTATTGCCCAAGCTGGAGCTTAGTGGTATAATCACAGTTCACTGCACCCTCAATCTCCTGGGCTCAAGGTATCCTTCCACCTCAGCCACTGGAGTACCTGGGACTACAGGCGTACACCACCACACCTGGCTAATTAATTTTTTTTCTTCTTTGGTAGTGATGAAGTTTTACCATGTTGCCCAGGCTGGTCTCAAACGATCCACCTGCCTCAGCTCCCCAAAGTGCTAAGCTGGGCTCACATACATAAGCCACCATGCTTGGCCAAGGATCTTAATTTTTGAAGTTTATTTTCCTTGAGGTTATTGAGGACATATCCATGCCAGCCACAGAATGGAGAAGCAACTTCCATCTTGCTCATGCTCAGCCTCTCTATTTATACCCTCACCATTCTCCCCCACATCACACATGTGGTTTCAATAAAAGTATACTTAAGACTCAGCTTTCTGCTACAGCTGGAGCGCTCCAATGCTCATCCCGCTACTAGACGTGTAACTGACCTGGTTGAACTCAAGAACATCCAGAAGATCAAAGAGCTTCCGGTTCTTCTCGTTGTCCTTCAGTTTCACGTAGTACTGCTGCAATCCATGCAGCGTCAACTTCGTCTCATCATCCACGAAGATCTCCATTGGCTGGGGGGGGAGGAAGGGGGTGGGGAACGGGAGGAGGGCAGAGTGGGGGGGTTAAACCTGGGGGGGTGGAGGAAGTTGATCTCCAATACACCCCATGGGGGGATGGGGAGGAGGAAAGAGAAGATTGAAAACCCCACCCCATTCCCAAAAATACCCACATTTTACTGTGGTCTTTCTCACATTACATCTAATTTCCTTCCTATCAGATGAGTTTTAAGACTGCCCAAGTAAAAACTATCAGGGGAAAGAAACTTTGCAAGGACATAAAGGAGCAGTGAAACCACCCAATGGCACAGATGCCATTACCTCAAATAGAGGTGGGAGAAAAAAGAAAATGGGAGATGATTCTCAAAGGGAGAGCAAGGCCCAAACGTCTGGGAAATGATGAGAGGCAACGACTCAAGGTCGGAATAACTGCATCAGAGTTGCTTGGAAGAACACGGGTGGGGGGAGGACGACTGCTCCATTTGATTCTCCTACTTCAACCAAGAGAATCTCATGTACGTTAGGAAAGTGGATGTCTTTTAAGAACCGAATGCTAAAATGGACAGTCAAAATGCCACTTACAGAGAAACAAAAAATTACTCTACGGAGAAACAAAAAATTACTCAAGATGAGTAACTTGCCATCAGACCACAACAGGGTAGTTTTAGATGAGACTGGTCTCTTGACTACGAATTAAACCATCTACAGACTTACAGGGAAGGTATCAGTAAGTGGTATTAAAAACCAAATTCAAAGCAGCAGATATGCATTTTTTAAAGGGACAGGATCTATGTTGCCCAGGCTGGAGTGCAGTGGCTATTCACAGGCACAATCATAACACACTATAGCCTCAAATTCCTGGGCTCAGGTAATCCTCCTGTTTCAGTCTCCTGAATAGCTGGGAATACAGGTAACATACCACCACACCTCCCTGCATTCATCTTTAAAACAACAAAGACCCCCTGAAGGGGAGGAAAGTAACATACAGAAATTAGCACAACTCCAAAATCCAACTTTCCTAACACTTTTTATACTATCTTGGGGAAGATAGTTAACATCTTAAGACCCAGAGGCCAAAACAGGAAATGATGCATGTGTCACAGAAAAAAAAACAAGGCAGGTTTTCTTTTCTTTTTTTGATACAGGGCCCCTATCACCCAGGCTGAAGTACAGTGGCACAATTACAGTTTACTGCAGCTTCCACATCCTGGGCTCAGGCAAACCCTCCTGCCTCAGCCTCCCAAGTAGCTGGGACCACAGGTATGTGCCACTACACCCAGCTTTTTTGGTAGAGACAAGGTCTCACTACATTGCCTATGCTAGTCTCATTGAGCTCAAGCAATCCTCCCACCTTGGCCTCCCAAAGCACTGCGATTAGAGGTGAGCCACCATGCCCAGCCAAGGCAGGCTTTTTAAAGACAAGTTCCATGGCCTCCTTCAAATTTTATTCTAGCCCCAAATACAGATAAAGAGTTATCTCACAGGAAGGAACACTGCAGGGAGGGGAAGAACACACTCCACTGCTTATGCTAGGACCCACCTAGCCCCAAACCCTAACACCCACCCGATTACATCCACTTTACCTTTCCTATGTCCCTCTCCTCTGAGTATTAAAAAAAAAAAAATTTTTAAGAAAAAAAAAAAAAAAAAATCTACCACCCCATTCAGGACACCCCTCCCCAACACATATGGGGGGAAACGGGGCACGGCACGCGTTGGGTTCAGGAAAAAAACCGGGAACGGAAAAAGAGGTTGGTTTGGTCCTCAGCTTCCTGGTCAGGTTTCCCCGCGGCCTCCGCTGCCGCCATCCACCGCTGGGTGCCGTCTGCATTCCCTCGCCGCGCCACGGTGCTTCTCTGTTGCCGGCTCACATCAACCGAGGTTCCGGATGGGTGCAAGGAGATGTGGGTGGGAAGGAGTAGGGTATCGGGGACTGAGGTGCCAAAGGCCCCCACCCCTGGAGGTGGGGAAGGGGAGGATTCATTTGTGCTGATGCTCTTCTTTTGGACATGCCCTGCCATCTGTCTGTCCCTCTCTTGCTCTCCTGCCACCGGGAAGTAGGAGTTTTGGTGAGCAGAAGGCTCCAGCTGTATGCTCGATGCCACCTTGAGGGTGCGTGGCTGTAGGGGGCACGTAAGAGACGATGGGTGGGTGGTAGGGCAGAAAAATCCTGCCCTCCCCCAAAGGGAGAAGAGGTTCAAAAATGTTGTGCTTTTTGAGAAAAAGTCGAACACTACCCGCTCTCACATTAACCCGACCAAGTCTTCCGGAGTTTCCCTGGCACCCGCGCAGACCCTAACACTAGCTGTCTCTGCTTCTGTATGTTTCTTCAAGGAGTCATTACTCCCAGCTGGGCACAAGCCGCCTTCTTGGCACTTGAATGACAAGGGAGTCTGGAGGAAGAGGGCGAGGAAGGGGAGGAGGCAGCGGGCGGGGAGTGGAGGGAGAGAAGGTAGAAGGGTATTTACATCTTGCATGAACTTGCGGCAGACTGGTCGGATCTCTTTGCTCAAGGTAGCACTGAACATCATGACCTGCTTCTCGTGGGGGGTCATGCGAAAAATTTCCTGGACATCCCGACGCATGTCTTTGAGAACAAGAAAAAAAATTGTAGGAGAAAATAAGCAGGTACGATAAAGATTAAAGGTAGACTTCCCAGTGAGGTGAAGACCGCAGTGAACTTGGAATCAAGAATTGGAATCATATTCCAGCTGTTTGTTTTAACTAAGAAAGAATTAAGATAAAAACCCCAAAATTCACAACTATAAAATGGGGATGAAGCCCTGTGCAGACACTCTCAGGCATAAGGCCTTTAAAACATGCTTTACAGGCCCAACTCTTTACTGCGCAAGGCCAGGCCAGCCTTCTGCAGACTACCAATATCAAGCACATATTACATTCCAGCTATCAAAGTTCATCTATGACCCTCTGGATCACTTTTCTATCCAGCTGGACAAATATGACATCTCTACCTAGAGCCTACCTTTATAGCTCGCCATACTGAATTGCCAAAGATCATCTGTATTAACTTTTCTCTGGAGCCTATGTCCATCCCCACTCTCATTCACCGAGATTCAATTCTGACAGAAAAATCTTTCTTCATTAACTCCACTAAGCACACTAGAATACTGCACCACACAAACTCCTACAAACACTCTCTACATTAATCCCAAACCCGAGTCTAGAAACTTATTCAGGTATAAATTCTGACAGTGTATGTTGCGCTGGAGATGCCGTGAGGGTAGACGGTCTTCCCCTTCAGTTTAGAATCTCCCCTATGACTCCTAGTATAGAAATCTTTAACGGAAAGGGTAGTGGTGGTGACAACTTATGCCTAAAGTTATCAATGTCCCCTATTCACAAAGGTTAAAAAAAAAATCATGCCGGGCACGGTGGCTCAAGCCTGTAATCCCAGCACTTTGGGAGGACAAGGCGGGTGGATCACGAGGTAGAGAGATCGAGACCATCCTGGTCAACATGGTGAAACCCCGTCTCTACTAAAAATACAAAAAATTAGCTGGGCATGGTGGCGCGTGCCTGTAATCCCAGCTACTCAGGAGGCTGAGGCAGGAGAATTGCCTGAACCCAGGAGGAGGAGGTTGCAGTAAGCTGAGATCGCACCATTGCACTCCAGCCTGGGTAACAAGAGCAAAACTCTGTCTCAAAAAAAAAAAAAAAAAAAAATCATAGAAAGATGATAGATGACACCCTTTACTGTGCTTAAAACAATAAAAACCAACCAGGGAACCCAGAGCCATCAGTCATGGGTGATAGATAAGAGTCGTCCTTGCACTGAGGTGCTCCTGTTTCAAATAAACATCATTTGGCTCCAAAGAACAATTCCCCAGCATTAGCCAAGTCCCAGCACTGCCACTCACCGAGCTGTTCAAGCATTTTATCGCATTCATCCAAAATAAAGTGTTTAATGTGTTTGAGGTTGAGGCTCTTATTTCGAGCCAGGGCTAGGATACGGCCTGGAGTCCCCACGACGATATGCGGGCAGTTCTTCTTCAGCACCTCTTCATCCTTCTTGATAGACAGACCACCAAAAAACACAGCAACCTGCCGAGCCAAGAGCAAAGAGTCTCAAAAACAAGGAAGGAAAGAGTCTCATCTCCTCAGGGTTCCCACTCTCAGTTTGAGCTAAACCAATTTTTAGCATGTTTCAAGACTACAACAAACTTTTAGAGGTCACCTAATTTAAAAATTTTATGTCCCCCCACCAAACGCTGAGGTTAATAAACAAAAGGGATTGCCTAAAGTTACAGGACTGCTCAGAGCAGTCAGGACAAGAATTCAGTCCTTCTGACTTAATCTAACCATTTTCCTTCATTTCTGAGGCCAGGCTTCATTTAAAAAATCAAGGAGCCAGGTATGGTGGCACATTCTTGTAATCCCAGCTACTCGGGAGGCTGAGGCACGAGAATCACTTGAACCTGGAGGCAGAGGTTGTGGTGAGCCAAGATCTCACCACTGTACTCCAGCATGGGTAACAAGAGGAATACTCCGTCTCTAAAAATAAAAATAAGGCTGGGCTCAGTGGCTCACACCTGTAATCCTAGCACTCTGGGAGGCCGAGGCAGGCAGATCACTTCAAGCCAGGAGTTCAAGACCAGCCTGGCCAACATGGTGAAACTCCATCTCTACTAAAAATACAAAAATTACCCAGGAGGTTGAGGCAGGAGAATCTCTTGAACCTGGGAGGCAGAAGTTGCAGTGAGGAGAGATCAAGCTACTGCACTCCAGCCTGGGCAACAGAGCGAGACTCCATCTCAAGAAATAATTTAAAAAGCCAGGCGCAGTGGCTCAAGCCTGTAATCCCAGCACTTTGGGAGGCTGAGGTGGGTGGATCATGAGGTCAAGAGATCGAGACCATCATGGTCAACATGGTGAAACCCCGTCTCTACTAAAAATACAAAAAATTAGCTGGGCATGGTTGTGCGTGCCTGTAATCCCAGCTACTCAGGAGGCTGAGGCAGGAGAATTGCCTGAACCCAGGAGGTGGAGGTTGCGGTGGGCCGAGATCGCGCCATTGCACTCCAGCCTGGGTAACAAGAGTGAAACTCTGTCTCAAAAAAAAAAGAAATAATTAAAAAATAAAAATAGGCCGGGTGCAGTGGCTTACACCTGTAATCCCAGCACTCTGAAAGGTCGAGGTGGGTGGGTTACAAGGTCAGGAGTTCAAGACGAGCCTGACCAAGATGATGAAACCCCATGTCTACTAAAAATACAAAAATTAGCCAGGTGCAGTGGCGGGCACTACTCGGGAGGCTGAGGCAGCAAGAATCACTTGAACCCGGGAAGCAGACGTTACAGTGAGCTCAGATTGTGCCACTGCACTCCATCCTGGGTAACCAAGCAAGACTTGTCTCAAATAGTAATATAGCAATAAATAAACGACAGCAAGAAATCACCAGATGAGTGTAAAGTACCACAAAAAACACACGGAACATCAAGTTATTCTAAATAAACCCAGAATCTCCACACAAACCCCATGAAATTATTGCTTTGGGCTAAATATTATCACTCCATGTTAAAACCATTAGGTGAATAGTCATTTAGGGATCTGGGCCTTGGTACACTATCAAGTAACACCAGAAACTACTTTCTAGTTTCAAGGGGGAAAAGAACCACCACGGAATCAAACTGTCATGACACTAAGCCTACCATAAATCTAAAATCACTAACGAGGCCAGGCGCGATGGCTCACGCCTGTAATCCCAGCACTTTAGGAGGCCAAGGCAGGTGGCTCACTTGAGGTCAGGAGTTCAAGATGGGCCTGGCCAACATAGCGAAACCCTGTCGCTACTAAAAATACAAAAATTAGCTGGGCATGATGGCACTATGTAGTCCCAGCTACTCGGGAGGTTGCGGCAGGAGAATCACTTGAACCTGCGAGGCACAGGTTGCAGTGAGCTGAGGTCGCGTCATTGCACTCACAGCCTGGGGGACAGAGCAGGACTCCATCTCGAAATAAAATAAAAATAAAATATATAGGTCAACCAGATTTGTGGCATAACAGGAGATAGAGCATCACCTATGAAGCATTCTTGCCAAAAATGCTTAACTTAAATCTAAAAAAAAATTTTTTTTTGAGACCGAGTTTCACTGTCATCCAGGCTGGAGTGCAGTGGCACAATCTCAGCTCACTGCAACCTCTGCCTCCCGGGTCCGAGCGATTCTCCCACCTCAGCCTCCCAAGTAGGTGGGACTACAGGTGCATGTCACCAGGCCAGGCTAATTTTTGCATTTTTCATACACAGGATTTCATCATGTTGGCCAGACTGGTCTCAGACTCTTGACCTCAAGTGATCCACCCACCTTGGCCTCCCGAAGTACTGAGATTACAGAAGTGAGCCACCATGCTTGGCCAGAATCCTCAGAATTCACACCACTGGAGCTGTTTTTAAAGTTTCCAGCTTTCTCTGCCCCACACCCCAAAATTAACAAACTGATAGGATTCAATTCAATATGAAGTGGTAAGAAAAGGGTGGCTTGAGCATGATCCATAGCCCACTTATGAATCCTCCTGTTACACAGGATCTTAACACTGTTAAACCATGGCAAACTATAGTTTCTCCAAAATTAAAAGTTTCTCATCCCACCAACTTGCCACATCGTCACTCTCAGGTCTCTTTACCTTGACTTACCTTGACATTGGGCATATATTTAGAGAAGCGCTCATATTCCTTGCTGATCTGAAAAGCCAACTCCCGAGTGTGACACATCACCAGCACAGACACCTTAGGCAGGAAGTAGATGGAGACATACAGTAAGTATAGCCCTTCACTATCCCCTCTAGGGAAGTGATGATCACAAAAATACACCCAGCCAATGATAAATGACTTAAATTCTGTGATCTAAATCATGAACTCTACGCTTGCAACAGAACATTCCCCACAGCTGTCAGGTTGTCAAGGGTAACAGAGATTATGTGCTCATCGCTCCGCAAGCATCATGTAGCTAGGACAAAAACACCCTTCCCTTATAATCCTAACCAAAATCCCTTCCCCAGCACTCTCCCCAAATGTACCTGCCCAGTAACTGGCTCCAGCTGTTGCAGTGTGGCCAACACAAACACTGCTGTCTTTCCCATGCCCGACTTGGCCTGGCACAGGACATCCATTCCCAGAATGGCCTGAGGGATGCACTCATGCTGGACTAAAAGAAGCGGGGAGGAAAGATCAATTAGACTTCAGTCTCCAGATAACTCTACCACGTTTTTCATCATGCCAACCCAATTTCTTACCACTCAATCCTCAAAGTCTAGTACTTACCTGGTTCTTGTCAACTTCCAGACTCTTTCTACCTCTCTCTGCTCCTTCAACCATATTCACCTCAAAATCAAACACTCCTAATTCCTTCCAGCTTTACCTCCTCCAGGTCCAGGCCTTCCCAGTTCTAACAACTCCCTTGCATCTATCAACTGATCACCTTCAATGCTCCTGACTCTGTCCTTATTTTTCTTAATCTGTAACAATTCATGACATTTGAACACCTGCCACAGGTCATTTTTCCTACTTAGGCTGCCATACTTCGGGTCACATAACTGCAACCCTGAACAAAATGAAGGACTTGGTACCTGACCCAGAAGCCAGTCATCTTTAAACCAGTCTTAGAGGCTTCCAGGGACCATAGGTGGCCTGGCCCAACAAAGGGGGCCTACAGGTCCAACCAGAAGCTTTCTGGAAATTTAAAATCAGAAGTGACAAAATTAAAAATAAGCAGACAAGGCCGGGCGCAGTGGCTCATGCCTTAATCTCAGCACTTTGGGAGCCCAAGGTGGGCAGATCATGAAGTCAAGAGATCAAGACCACCCTGGCCAACATGATGAAACCTATCTCTACTAAAATACAAAAATCTCTACTAAAATACAAAAAATTAGCCAGGAACGGTGGCACATGCCTGTAGTCCCAGCTACTCTAGAGGCTGAGGAAGGAAAATCACTTGAACCCAGGAAACGGTGGGTGCAGTGAGCCGAGATCACACCACTGCACTCCAGGCTGGAGACAGAGCAAGACTCCGTCTTGCGCGGGGGAGGGAGGGAGAACAGACAAGAAAAGCCAGTCACAAGAATGAATAGCAGACCTGTAAGTTACTCTTAGATCACTAGCATTTTGTTGCTATCACAAAAGAAACCATAACCTGTATAAGCCTCCTATATCCAAAATTGTTTTTGATACTTATCTCCTGATTTTCTTTCCCTCGCTGTCACCCAGGCTGGCGTACAGTGGTGCAATAATGGTTCACTACAGCCCCAACCTTCAGGGCCCAAGCAATCCTCCCCTGGCTTGCCACACCTCTCCATGTGTGTGCCGCCACACCTGGCTAATTTTTGAACGTTTTATAGAGACAGGAGTCCCTATGTTTCCCAGGCTTCTCCTGCACTCTTGAGCTCAAATGACCCTCTCCTACCTTGGCCTCCCATAGTGCTGGGATTACAGGAATGAGCCACTGCAACTGGCCCTGATCTAGCCTTAAGTATAAACCTTTACCACCTGAGCAACAATGAACCATCTTTTTATTATCCTTAAAGAGCCTAATGAGCATACATGCCCAAGAGAAAATTTACCTTCTGATGGATGCTCAAAGCCACAGTCGACAATGGCCCGGAGCAACTCTGGCTTGAGCAGGAAGTCACGAAAGCCAGAGCTGTGGATGGAGACATAGGAGCCCTTGACATCCTTCTTGGCAGGGGCCTCAGCCCCATCTCCCCCAGCTGCTGTCTCGACCTCATCATCTTCATAGTCCAAGAGCTCATTGTCTACATCGTTCTCTGCCATAACTGGGCCGGCAGGGGAAAAAGGGAAGGGGCCTCTGGACGGGTTCTTGGAAAATAGGTGAAAACAAGGAGTGAAAATTAGGGGTTGAGGAACAGCAAAGGAAAGCAAAGGTACTAGTTTCTAACAGAAGAGCTGCGGCGCAAGGTGGGGGGGGGGGGGCGGGGAGGCAAGATATAGTCAGGAGCAGAGCCTTCACCTCCTCTTTTCCATTCCCAGTTCCCACCTTCCCTAAACCAGGAAACTTTTACCTGGAAAGAAAAACAGATACAAAACATACAAGCGAAAAGCAAATATAACAGAATAGAAAAAGCAGTCCCAGGGAAAGTGCTTAGGACACAGGATCCCAACAAGATTAGCAATTCGAGTAGCAGAAACCAGAATAATTGGAACGGGAAGACCAACTTATAAATTCTTGATCTTAAAGTAACAAGGAGGAAACAGAATAGATAATAAAGGATAAAGTATTACTAATAATTTGGAGAAGTGGAAAACGGAGATGACAGAGTCCGAAAAATCCTCAAAGGACCGCGCTTTCCCTATTATAATCCCAACGTGCAGATGCCTAACTCAGCAGCCATCAGTCAAGGGTGATAGATGAGGGTCATCACTGCGCAAAGCGCTCACCTTTGGAAATGAAAACATCATATGGCCGCCGTCCACCTCCCACTTCTCAGTACCCTCCCTTCCGTTAAGATATCCTTGTGTAATTAGCATGGGGGGGGGCAGTGCAAGACAAATGGCTCGGCAACAACAACAAAAAATTTCACGTCTCCACCCTACAATAAGAAAGCTAAGAGTTGACAGAGAAAGGCAATCCCCACCCAGGCTTCAACAAAATCTTTACCAAGTGGTCTCACATCACTGCTGCGCTACGAAGGTGAGACTCCTTTCGGAGAAATATACAATACACCAATCATAAACACTTGCAAGGCACTCCAAATTAGGTTGGGCAAGTCGAGGTGAGAAAAATCCAACTGGGCCTAGAAACCGGCTCCTCCTCCCAGTTCCATAGTGGGCCAAGAAAGGGCCCAAGAAAGGACAAGGAAGGTGAGAAGAGCCCCGCCCTCCGCAAACACCAAGACCAAGGGACGCCTAGCGCCGCCTCTCATTGATGATGAGGCCTCCAATATGAGAGGAACCCACCGGATGAAGGGAGCAAAGCGAACACAATGGCGCCGAAGACACCATCTTGGATTGGGCCCCCCCTTAGCTACCCTTCCTCCCCCCAGAAACTCTTTGCTCTCGAAAGGGATGCAGGCTACAGAAATAACGAACCAACTAGGCCCCAGCGATCAGACCATCGCCTGTGAAATGGGTATCAGGAACCCATGTGACGGGATGGGTGCGGAGAAGCGCAGATGAAAGCGGATTGCGGCGAAGGCCGAAGCTTACCTAAGCAGGGAGAGCGCGTATGGCGGCAGCAACAGCGACGAAGGAGGGAAATCTGCCTTCACTTCCGGTTGCAGGCTTCTCTCTACTGGGGCCTCCCGCCTTCTTGGCTGCAAGAGCGCAGGCGCAAAGGACCGGAAACGGGGCCTTCCGCAGTTGTATAGATCCGCGCGCTCCAGGCTTGCCTTTGGAAAATGCCTGTCTGAAATTTTTTTAAAAACAATTTCTAACTTCCCTGCTACCGCCAGTAACAAAAGTTATAAAGGAAACTAACATCTCCTCCCACTGTTATGTTTCTAATCTTTTTCTACTCTTCTCCATGCCCCTCATCTCTTCGTTCAGGTTTTTGCCACGCAGGTCTTCTCTCTAGGCACCCCTTCATGGACGCGCGGGGAACCAGAGTGGCGAAGCCTGTGCATTCCCACGGGGTCCTTGGCCCTGTAGTGAAGGTGACCTCAGGGCGGCTGTGCACGCACTAGGAAACGGCAGACCCTAGCTGAGAGAAGTCACACGGACTGGCGTGCTCACGGGTGTTGCCGGACTCTCCCTGTTGTGGGGCTGGTGGGCGGTATTTTCACGAAACGATGCTGTCCGAGGTAGCTGACGCACTAGGGCCAATGAGTCCGGAAGGTGTTCTGAATCCGAGCGGGAGACTCGGTCTGGATTCTACCCCAAGTGTTAATAGTAGGACTTGAGGGTTATACTACATTTCATTAATACTGTTTTTGTTTTGAGACGGGAGTCTTGCTCTTTCGGCTAGAGTGCAATGGCGCGATCTCGGCTTACTGCAAACTCCGCCTGCCGGGTTTGTGCGATTCTCCTGCCTCAGCCTCCAGAGTAGCCGGAATTACAGGCGCCCGCCACCACGCCCAGCAAATGTTTGTGTTTTTAGTAGAGATGGGGTTTCACCTATGTATGACCTCATATGTTCCACCCACCTTGGCCTCCCAAAGTGCTGGGATTACAGGCGTGAGCCACCTCGCCTGGCCCATTAATACTGTTAATTTGAGCAAAAGTTTTTGGCCCCGCCCCAACAGTCCCATTGTTCAGCCTGGATTTTTTTCTGCGTGAAACATTTGACTTACCTGTCTTTGACATGGGGAGCTACAAAAATAAGACATAATGTCCTGCTGTGTAATACAAATAACAAACGTTTCGCCTTCTCCCTGTTAGCACATTTAATCATTTAATACTAAGGAGTAGGTACTGTTATTCCCATCTCATTGACAGAGGCAAAGCAACATGTCCCAAGCAGTGTAGCTGGTGAGGTTACAGCCAGGATGCAAACACCTCTAATTCTCTATTGTATTCTGCCTCCCTGCTCAAAGAATCCGGTTACTAAATACACTACAGGTTACCTCATGGTTCAAATCCTTGGTGAAGCAAGCTTATCTTCAGTAATAAAATGAAGTAACTGATTCAAGAATGGTGTCATAGAAGGGCCGCTTTCCCAGGCCGGGCACGGTGGCTCGAGCCTGTAATCCCAGCACTTTGGGAGGCCGAGGCGGGTGGATCATGAGGTTAAGAGATCAAGACCATCCTGGTCAACATGGTTAAACCCCGTCTCTACTAAAAATACAGAAAATTAGCTGGGCTTAGTGGCGCGTGCCTGTAATCCCAGCTACTCGGGAGGCTGAGGCAGGAGAACTGCCTGAACCCAGGAGGCGGAGGTTGCGGTGAGCCGAGATCGCGCCATTGCACTCCAGCCTGGGTAACAAGAGCGAAACTCCGTCTCAAAAAAAAAAAAAAAAAGCCAGGCGCGGTGGCTCAAGCCTGTAATCCCAGCACTTTGGGAAGCTGAGGCGGGTGGATCACGAGGTCAAGAGAGCGAGACCATCCTGGTCAACATGGTGAAACCCCGTCTCTACTAAAAATACAAAAAATTAGCTGGGCATGGTGGCGCGTGCCTGTAATCCCAGCTACTCAGGAGGCTGAGGCAGGAGAATTGCCTGAACCCAGGAGGCGGAGGTTGCGGTGAGCCGAGATTGTGCCATTGCACTCCAGCCTGGGTAACAAGAGCGAAACTCTGTCTCAAAAAAAAAAAAAAAAAAAAAAAAAAAGAAGGGTTGCTTTCCCAAGTATCATTTAATTTATTCAAAAATATTTACCAACTGCCTACCCTGTGCCATGTGCTGTCCTAGGATCTGGGGACATAGCAGTGAATAACCCTGTTCTCACAGTGTTTACATAGCAGGGAAGAAACACATAAACACAAATATAATGTCAAGTATCAGTAAGTGGCCAGGGTGCAGTGGCTCATGCCTGTAACCCAACCCTTGGGGAAACCGAGGCTGGCGGATTGCTTGAGCCCAGGAGTTTGAGACCAGCCTGGGCAACCGTAAGACCCTATCTCTACAAAAATAATTTTAAAATTAGCCAGGCATAACAGCACTCGCCTGTGGTTTCAGTTAGATGGCTGAGGTGGGAAGATCATTTGAGTCCAGGAGGTCAAGACTGCAGTGAGCTGGCACTCCAGCATAGGCAACAGAGCGGGATCTTGTCTCAAAAAACAAGTAGCAGTGGCCGGGCGCGGTGGCTCAAGCCTGTAATCCCAGCACTTTGGGAGGCCGAGGCGGGTGGATCACAAGGTCAAGAGATCGAGACCATCCTGGTCAACAAGGTGAAACCCCGTCTCTACTAAAAATACAAAAAGTTAGCTGGGCATGGTGGTGCGTGCCTGTAATCCCAGCTACTCAGGAGGCTGAGACAGGAGAATTGCCTGAACCCAGGAGGTGGAGGTTGCGGTGAGCCCTGATCGTGCCATTGCACTCCAGCCTGGGTAACAATAGCGAAACTGCATCTCAAAAAAAAAAAAGTAGCAGTAAATGCTATGAAAAAAATGCAAAGGGGCAAAGAGTACTTGCTCCTACACTCCAGCTTTTCTCTACAGTTGCCATCTATAGTCCTCAGATTCCCAAATGAGGAACCATGGTTCTCAGTTTAGAGAAATAATAAAGTACTTACTTGTTCTTGTTTCTCCAACAGGTTTCAAAGGATAGCCATTTGGGCTGTTTAGGGAATTTGTAAACAAGAAACAAGAAAGTGACTGAAGGCTGGGCGTGGTGGCTCATGGCTATAATCCCAGCACTTTGGGAGGCTGAGGCAGGTGGATCACTTGAGGTCAGGAGTTTGAGACCAGCCTGACCAACATGGCGAAACCCCATCTCTACTAAAAATACAAAAATCAGCCAGGCATGATGGCGCACACCTGTAATCTCAGCTACTTGGAAGGCTGAGGCAGGAGAATCACTTGAACCCCAGAGGTAGAGGTTGCAGTGAGCCAAGATGGCGCCATTGTATTTCAGCCTGGGCAACAAGTGCAAAATTCCACCTTGAAAAAAAGAAAGAAAGTGGCTGAAAATGATAAATGATGAGGCAAAAGGAGACTGCTTCAACTCACCAGTTTATTTGCCAATAATTATTTTATTGACAGTTTTTTTTTTTTATTGTTACAATGGGAAAGTAAGGCATCACGGACGTAGAAAGGCAGGCCATGCAAATGAGGGGACATAGTCTCATTTTATATCTTAGAAAGCAGTGAGTATCTGATAAGTCTTTGGGGAAATAGGAAAGGAGGAAAATCCAATAAAGAGAAAGATCAGCATAAGAAAAACAAAGACAGGCTACAAAATGCAGTTATCTACCTGGAATTGTAAGAGAGGGGCTAAATGAAGTCATCATCTCCTCTTTTTGGAGATCAGAAGGTCTCTGGGAAAAAAGAAGAACCAGTTATTCAGAAAATAACTAAGGTCACAGAATGAACATGTGGAATTAGAGAGCCACTGATAGAAGTGAGGAAATAGCTGTGTCGGTTTTGGGCAGTGTGCAGGTGGTGGTAATAGTATCACAAGGTTGCTACTTATTGAATCACTGCTACTACATGCGAGGAACTATGTTAACTCTACAGAATGATTCGTAATCACTGAAGCAACACTCACAGGGTAGGCATTATTATCATTCCCGTTTGACAGGAGAGGACATTGAGGCTACCAAGTTAAGTAGCTTGTCCTGGTTTCACAGCCAGCAAGTGACAGAGTCAGGAGTGGGACCCCCATCTGCCAGATGCTGAAGTCAGGATGTTTTCCACATTCCTACTTCCCCATGTTACAAATTTCACAGAGGGTTTAGGTGAGAATGACTTGAGAGTTTACAAAGTCCCAGTGAAGGTTAAAGAACAACAAGGAGATTCAGATGTGAGAAGGATATTTATAAGTTTCACAGAAAACTACCGAATCCTGCCTCCTAGGATTTCTAGGGGGAGGAAAGAAGACAAGGATTATGGTGGGAGGTGATTTTTTATTTTGATTGGAGGATTTCTTTGAGGGAAGGAACTGGCAGAAGGAGTCAGGCCCTACGGTGGTCCTAGGCAGAAATCCGGTAGTTGGGGTGGAGCTGGGGCCTGACGTCGCAGACCATGCCAAGAAGCTGGGCCAGGACACGCTCTCGGTTTCTCTGCTGGGAGCTCTGCATGCCCTGCACCTGGCGCCTTGTAGCCTGCTCCACCTCAGCCGACAGGTTCCCCTGGGAGCCCATGGCCTGGGGGGTGGGGAGAGAGGTGGAAGAGAGGGAAAAGCAGAAACAGAGAGACAAGGGTCCAGGAATATGAAAGGAAAGATCCTGAAGCAAAGCCTGGAAGAAAGGCCCTCTCAGAAACCACCCTCATCCCACAGAAATATCCCAACACCAGAGAGATCAACACAATCCCCTTTCCCCTTAGACCTGACATGCAACTTCATCCTAAAACAGACTGTAATATCCCCACCACCTCACCACCCATGGCCGTAAAACTCTACCCTCCACCACAAATGTTAATCATTCTCCACATAGACGTTATGCTTTACACAGACTGTGGCAATTCCCCTCACCAGCTCTACATGTCCTTCAAAACTCCTAGACTCCCTTACATATCATCACAAAGTTTCATTGATGTGATCCCTGCCAGGGTCCCCTCAGGCTCAGCCCGCTGCCACCATATTTTCTCGTTGAGTCATCCATACACACCTCACTAGATGCACCCACCAACTTGCACCGGGGTCTCATCCCAACTCTGCCCCAACTCACCGCCTGCTGCTTGCTCTGGAATTCCTGCTCTCGCTCTCTGCGGTATTGCTCCACTTCCATCTGTGCCTCCTCCTTTGCCTGCTTCAGTCGCCGGGCCTTCCCTGGAGGCAGAAGAAAGGACAGTGGGCGGGGGTGGACCCCCCACACAAAATGTAATAGCAGGGGTCAGTCCCTTCCAGAAAGTTATACAGCCTTCTCTCGGCCAACCAGGTGCTAGATTCTAACATCCATCCATTTCTTCCCTCCTAACCAGCCTCCAGACCCTAGCTCTCTTCCCACCAACCTTGGGTTTTCCCAAAATGTTTGCTGTCCCTCGCCCCCAATTTTCTTTCCAGACTCCTAAGGGAGGAAAGAGGAGACTCACTCTTTCTGGCATCTGCCACCTTCTCAGCTGCCCGCTTCTCAGCTTGCAGGAGCTGCTGGATACCCTGGGACTGACTGGCCATTTCTGTTGTGATGGCCGATGCTGTTTTGAAATACAGTCAAGGTACCAGATGGCTCCCACCCCCCACCGCTTACTTCTCCTCCTCCAGCTCGTTGCTGCAGTCCCCCACCACCCCTGGGTCTTAGTGCTCCCCTTCTCCCTCAGCCTACTGCACCGGGTGTCTCCCCCAATCTGATCCTCCCATTGATGACTCGTCCTCCTTTCCAGCACTTCTCGCTCAGGCAGTACCCCAGGGGGCCGCTTGGGAGCAGCAGAGACCAGGCCCAAAGCTGCGGGTTTCCAACAGGTTAGCCTTCGCAGTCGGAAAGGTCTAGGGATGAGGCAGGGGCGGAGTTGGGGAGTACTCGGGTCAGAGAAAGAGAGCTTGATTGGTGGTATCAGAGGAAGCAAAAGGGGTTGTGAATGGGGTGAAAAGGTAAGGATATCGTCATGCAACGTGTGTTGAGAAAAGAGTCTCCCTTTCTCTTTCTCCACTCCTGTCCCCTCCCTCGCCTCCGTTAACATCTCCATCTTTTTCTACATATTTCCTAAGTCCAAATTTCTGCATCTCACTTGCCCCGTCCTACGCTAGTCTTCTTCCGTCTTTTGTCTGTATGTTTTCTCTTTTTTTTGATCTGTCCCTGTTCTTGGCCCACGGTGGTTTTTGCTTTTGTCTTTCACATTTAATGTGATTTTTATCCTGTCTTTATCTCCCGTTTTCTCTCTCATCTTTTTGTCCATCACGGAACCATCTCCTCTCTCCGCCAAGTTAGAGGAGGCGGGGGAAAATCTCCAAGTAGCTCTCTTTTTCTCTCCGACCTCCCCTCGCCTCCAGTCCAGTCTTCTGGTTTCAGACGGACCCTTTAGCTTACGTTCCCTAGTTTCCCTAGGGAGAGCTGACCAAGAACCACCCTATCGGGGCGGAACGACATCCGGTAACGCCCCTCACAGTTCACTTCCGCCCTCCACCTGCGTCTCAGCTTGCGCCATTTCCTCCATTCTGGAGTGTCTCCGCCCTTCCCGCCTCCAGTCTCCGAGCGTCTTAAACACAGGCCTTGGGGCCTACAGCTCTGGGGGTACTGGGGGGGCGGGGGCAGGTCTGATGAGTAACCCCTCCCCCCAGGTCCCAGAGGAAGAAGCCTCCACATCTGTCTGCCGGGTACATGATATTCAATTTCTAGATCATTATTGGAGATTTTCTGTGACTTTTTAAAACTCAGATTTCTGCTGATAAAAATTGTCCCCAGCTGGCCTTGTTGGGTTTTTTAAAGTTCTTTGTTAAAAGTTTGCCTGGGCTTCTGAGCCTTAAACCAATTATTTACCCTTTTCTCGAATTTTACATTAAAAAATTAAGTCTCTGATCCTAGCACCCCCCCAAAATTTTTTTTTCCACTCTATCATCTGATAAAGGATCAGGGTTGGAATAGGTCTCATCTCTTGCTGAAGTTGTTAGAAATAAACGGAACCAAGGGAGAAACAACAGGGGATGTCAGAGATGGAGGGAGAAGCACCAGCCAAGGCTGAAGTCCTGACTGCTGCCTTTTTTCCTTCCTCAGCCCAAGAGTTCCATGGCCTCCACTTCCCGTCGCCAACGCCGAGAACGTCGCTTCCGTCGTTACTTGTCTGCAGGACGGCTGGTCCGGGCCCAAGCCCTCCTCCAGCGACACCCAGGCCTTGATGTAGATGCTGGGCAGCCCCCACCACTGCACCGGGCCTGTGCGCGCCACGATGCCCCTGCCCTGTGCCTGCTTCTTCGGCTTGGGGCTGACCCTGCCCACCAGGACCGCCATGGGGACACGGCACTGCATGCTGCTGCCCGCCAGGGCCCAGATGGTGAGTCTGTCCAGTGGGGAACAAGGTCATGAGCAACTGACCAGACCTGAAATGAAAGCCAACCAATACAATAGCTGAGAAATAAGCTAGTTATTTGGTCATCAGTACCTAGGGAAGGAGTTAACCAAGTTGGCATGAGGCTGTCATTTGTGCCATTACGTTTTTGAGCTACCATTGTCTGAAGAACCCAACATTTCCAAGACAGCAACTGGTCTTAAAATTTCACATCTTGTCTAGTTTAGTAGCTACTTTGTTCCTTGACAGGTTGTTTGCTTGTAGCCAAATAGTAGCATAGAAGGTAGTCTCTGGAGTTAGATTGCCTGGATTCAAAACCCAACTCCAAATCCCAGCTCCACATTTGATAGCTGTGTATTCTTGGACAGGTTACCTGAGGCTTAGTTTGCCCATGTGCAAAAATCAAAATCATAACCTTTGCTATGTCCCAGGCATTTCTCACAAAGTAATACCTTTAATCCTCACAACGTTACGAGGTGAACTGATATTATCCCCCATTTCCCAGATGAGGAAACAGGACATAGAGAAGTTTGCCAAAGTTACAGTCACTTGTAGAGCAGAGGTTATAACCCAGGTGGCCTAGATAGAGTGTCCATGCTTTTAACAGCTACATTGTCCCGTGTTATACCTTATAGCATTGTACAGTTATTGTGCCCATGTTCAAGGTACCCATGTTGTGCCACATATGTTTTGAGAATCAACTGACGCAGTACATAATAAGAGTACCTAGCACACACGATAAGCAATTGGTAGATGCTGGTGACAGTTGTTCCTGTTTTTCTTTTTCGTTTTTTGTTTGTTTGTTTAATATGGAGTTTCACTCTTCTTACCTGGGCTGGAGTGCGGTGGTACGATCCTAGCTCACTGCAACCTCCACCTTCCGGGTTCAAGTGGTTCTCCTGCCTCATCCTCCCAGGTAGCTGGGATTACAGGTGTGTGCCACCATGCCCAGCTAATTTTTGTATTTTTAGTAGAGATGGGGTTTCACCCTGTTGGCCAGGCAGGTTTCAAACTCTTGACCTCAGATGATCCACCCACCTCAGCCTCTCAAAGTGCTGGGATTACAGGCATGAGCCGCTGTGCCAGGCCTTGTTCCTGTTTGTGTTATCAACAGGTCCATGCTCCCTTACCCACAATTCTAAATTCAAAAACACTCTGAGAACCAAACATTTTTCATCAGGCTGCCACCAAAATTCGTTTTGGGACAGAAACCTAATCTGAACTAAAGTAAGCTTTCTATGATTTGTTTTTATCCTACTGATGTCAATATTCATACATTTCCCTGCAGAAACACTCATATGTTTGGTTCTTGGGGCTGCCCAGGCCCTCCTGGGCTACCTAATGTACAGTAAGTGTACTTTTAGGTTAGCCCTATCAAGTCCCAAAAAAAAAAACATTTGAATTCTGCAAAACCTTTGACGCTGAAGGATTTAGATAGGGAACCTGGTGATTATAATGTGGTGGAAGCAGCTCTTTAGAGGTAGAATCCTTCTTACTAGAATAAAAGGCGAAACCTTTCCCCATCTAGAGATTTCCTTCTGGAGTAAGAACATTAGAGGAAAATCTCCAGATGGGGATGAACAATCCTAACTCAATTTGAGTTTGCTACTCATAGCATCCCCCAGCTCAAGTATAGACAAAAGGCCCCTCCCCCAAAACTTCCCCCATATGGTCAAAAACCCCCCTTTTTAAAAATTTCCTTTAACATACCTGACATAGGCAGGCTGGGCGCGGTGGCTCAAGCCTGTAATCCCAGCACTTTGGGAGGCTGAGGCGGGTGGATCACGAGGTCAAGAGATCGAGACCATCCTGGTCAACATGGTGAAACCCTGTCTCTACTAAAAATACTAAAAATTAGCTGGGCATGGTAGCGTGTGCCTGTAATCCCAGCTACTCAGGAGACTGAGGCAGGAGAATTGCCTGAACCCAGGAGGCAGCTGCGGTGAGCCGAGATCGCGCCATTGCACTCCAGCCTGGGCAACAAGAGCGAAACTCCATCTCAAAAAAAAAAAAAAAAAAAAAACATACCTGACATAGGCTAGCATAGTCAGATTTATTTCTTCAGTTGTTGTTTTTACTTAAAACTAAGTTTACCAAGTATAGGCATCTAACTTGATAGCTCATATTGTAAGAGGCAGAACCCTGGAAGGCAAAAGAGCAGGTTTTTTGTTTTTGTTTTTTTTTTTTGAAGCAGAGTCTCTCTCCCTGTCACCCAGGGTAGAATGCAGTGGCATGATCTCAGCTCACTGCAACCTCTGCCTCCCAGGTTCAAGTGATTCTCCTGACTCAGTCTCCCAAGTAGCTGGGATTACGGACACATGCCACCACGCCTGGCTAATTTTTATATTTTTAGTAGAGTCGGGGTTTCACCACGTTGGCCAGGCTGGTCTCAAACTCCTGACCTCAGGTGATCCACCTGCCTTGGCCTCCCAAAGTGCTGGGATTACAGATATGAGCCACCATGCCCGACCAAAAGAGCAGATTACACCAAGACAGACCTGCATCCAGACCCCAGCTCTATTGACAAGGACATGCAGCTTATCTCTGTGAGCCCAATTTGCCTCACACAAATGGGATTTCTTTCTTTCTTTTTTTTTTTTTAAAGATGGGGTTTCACCATGAAGACCAGGCTGGTTTTGAACTCCTGACCTCAGGTGATCCACCCACCTCAGCCTCCCAAACAAATGGGATTTCAAATAAGCAAATTAGGCAAGCACTTAGTGCAGTTTTGGCACTTATTATTTATACTAAGTAATAAGTATGCTATTTTTATTTTTATATTCCCCAACTAAGGCTTCTAGAGTAGTAAAAATGCCCTTGAGGATGGGCGCGGTGGCTCACGCCTGTAATCCCAGCACTTTGGGAGGCCTAGGCGGGTGGATCACGAAGTCAAGAGATCGAGACCATCCTGGTCAACATGGTGAAAACCTGTCTCTACTAAAAATACAAAAAATTAGCTGGGCATCGTGGTGCGTGCCTGTAATCCCAGCTACTCGGGAGGCTGAGGCAGGAGAATTGCCTGAACCCAGGAGGCAGAGGTTGCGGTGAGCCGAGATCGCGCCATTGCACTCCAGGCTGGGTAACAAGAGAGAAACTCCATCTCAAAAAAAAAAAAAATGCCCCGATAGTGTGGTGGGAATTTCCTTTATTGTTTGTTTGTTTTGTTTTGTTTTGTTTTTTTGAGATAGGGTCTCACTCTGTTGCGCATGCTGGAGTGCAGTGGTGCGATCTTACCTCACTGCAGCCTCTACCTCCTGGGCTCAAGCCATCCTTCCACCTCAGCCTCCCTAGTAGCTGGGACTACAAACACACACCACCATGCCCAGTTAATTTTTTGTATTTTTGGTAGAGACTGTTTTGCTGTGTTATCCAGGCTGTTCTCCAACTCCTGAGTTCAAGCAGTCTCCTAACCTCAGCCTCCCAAAGTACTGGGACTAGAGGCATAAGCCACCACACCCAATCCTATTGTACTGAATTTTAAGAAGCTTGTGAGACTGTTAGTATCCCATTTACAGATGAGGAAAGCAGAGCCCAGAAGGTTCAGGGACTTAGTTGAAATCTCACAGCTCTCAAGGTCATTGTCTTCCAAGCTCAGGACCTTCACTCCCAAAAACTTTGTGTTCTCTCTGGCCTTGTTTATTCCTGGTCCCCTGCCAGCCCTGCCACCAGATGGCCTTCTAACTCCTTGATTGAAAGGCTCATCTCATTCAGCTTCCCGCATTTTTTTTTTTTTTTTATGCTCTCTGCAGAATCAAGCTTCCAGCTTTTTTATAGACTACCCTGCCTTAGTAAAATTAAAATATCTTCTTCGAACAGGTTAAATGACCCAGAATCCCCTGGTGGTGGTTGTTAGTTTAGGTGTGAGGGATGTGCCAGTGCATATTGGAGTGGCTGGGCTGGGTTATCACAGCCAATGAGACATCATGAATGGCCCCTACCTTTTAAGCTTTTGGTGACTTCTTTTTAGAACCATCAACTCAGCCCAACATGGGGAAGAGGTCTTAGCTGTCAAAGACTGTGTATAAACAAACTTCAGTCAGACAATAACCTTTACGTACAACAGAGTTAACGAAAACTGAGAAATAGGGGTATTTTTTTCTCACAGTTTTTGCAGAAAGAATAAAGCCCAAAGTCAGTCTGGGTTTTTGGGGTTTCGGTTTTTTAATGTGTTTAATTTTATTTTTTAAAATGTAGTATTTACTGTGCTTCTTCACTCTGCTAGCACAGCACTAGACGTTTAACATCCATCACCCACTGTACTCTTGCACAGTACAAGTAGGCTGTGGCCCTGCTTTAAAGGGCTTAAGGCCATCCAATTTATGTTCCATTTGGCTTTCCAGCCTTGCTTCATGCTGCACACACACAGAGCCAAGCCTGCTCATCTCTAGCCTGTCACCTTCCCTTCCACCTGATTCCCACTTTGCTAAAAGTCATTCTCCCTTCACAGCCCAGCAGAAGCCCAACTTCCTTCCTTTTTTTTTTTTTTTTTTTTTTGTTTCTGTTTTTGAGACAGAGTCTAGCTCTTGTCACCCAGGCTGGAGTGCAGTGGCACGATCTTGGCTCTCTGCAACCTCTTCCTCAGAGGTTGAAGCAATACTCTTGCCTCAGCCTCCCGAGTAGCTGGAATTAAAGGTGCCCACCACCATGCCGGCTAATTTTTATATTTTTAGTAGAGATGCGGTTTTGCTGTGTGGGCCAGGCTGGTCTCAAACTCCCGACCTCGTGATCTACTCACCTCGGCCTCCCAAAGTGCTGAGATTACAGGCATGAGCCATCTCGCCTGGCAGCAATCTCCTTGAAGCCCCCTTGTCCACCCCACCCGCTGTTACCTGTTCCTCCTCTGAGCATCAGTCAGTCATGAGTATAAGCTGCTGATATTGACATTTTTTAAAGGAATGGTTTTTTGTTTGTTTGTTTGTTTGTTTTGTTTTGTTTTTATGAGACGGAGTCTCACTCCAGGCTGGAGTTCAATGGTGCCATCTCAG